TCATGGCAAGCCACTCTTATGGTGTCCAGATTCTTCACTCTTATGGTGTCCGGATTCTTCTTAGTCATTCCGAATTCTTATGGTGTCCGGATTCTTCTTAGTCATTCCGAATGGCAAGCCACTCTTATGGTGTCCGGATTCTTCTTAGTCATTCCGAATTCTTATGGTGTCCGGATTCTTAGTCATGGCAAGTCATTCTTATGGTGTCCGGATTCTTAGTCATTCCGAATTCTTTTGGTGTCCGGATTCTTAGTCACGGCAAACCTCACATTGGCCGGCCTTACACATCAGCCTTACACATCCAGATACACGTGGCAAGCCTTAGACACCACAGCATCGCAACCGCGCACTTTTATTGGTGGAAGTACAACGAAATTATTTATAGAACAAACTTTGATATTTATTTTTGGATGTGGGATAATTCCCACAAAGTGCATTAAATTAAAATGGACATTGAATAAGTATTATTAATATGAAACATTAATACACTTGTAACGGCGTGGCTTTATGCTCATTACTTCCTCTTAGTTGATGGACACCTCAAGTTCAAACTCAAACCCCACGGGTGTGTCACATTATTTTAAAAAAAAATTTATTCCATTTCAAGTTTTCTTTTTCTATTAACAATCTTTTTTACTAAATTTATTCTAGAATCCAAAAAATAATAATTTTTTTGAAAAATTAAAGTGTTGTTCCAAAAATTGGTACGCATTTAAATAATTTCTATATTGACAACTAAATTTTTATTATATTTATTAATTTTTACATTATAAACCGTGTAATATACTATTTTTGTTGTGAAAAAAATAAAAAATAAGCAGAAAATAGTGTTGTTAAAAAAAAAAAATTTATTCCATTTGAAATTCTATCTTTCTATTGACAATCTTTTTTACTAAATTTATTCTAGAATCCAAGCTATTAAAATTTTGAAAAATTGAAGTGTTATTTCAAAAATTGATACGCATTCAAACAATTTCTATATTGATAGCCAAAATTTTATTTTATTTATTAACTTTTTTATTATAAATCATATAATGTACTATTTTTCTTACAGTTGTCAATAATACATTTTAAATTAGATGATATTATAAAATATTTTGGATTTGTTATTGTTTGTATAATAAAATAATTATAAAATGTTAACCAACAATTTTAATTTCAATCTATAATATTATAGTTAGATAGGTTGTAATAATTTTGGAGTATAATTAGGTTGTAATAATTTAGGTTTTTTTAGCAGATTAGGGTTTTCTGCCAATTCGAGATTTTAGTGGTCATTTTTTCATCGATTTAGTCTACTCTTTATTGTAGTCTATGTATGATTGATATACTTTATCCTCGATAATTCTATTATTTTTCTTTTGTGTGATGTAAATTTAATAGTTAACATAAGTTTATACAGGGAAAGAATGTCTCAATATTCACAAATTGATGAAAAAAATGTAAGTTAACAATGTAGTACATTCGTTTCTTATTAGATTCCTAAAAGATAACATTTATAATGAATTTTAATAATTTTTTTGGATTTTTTTAAAGCTTCATCCAACCAATTCGGACGATTCCCGATCTGGATCGCCGATTCACGGATCCGGATGGGTTTTTGGAGTGCCCAATCAAGAGCACCGATCCGTTTTTTAAACCACTGGGCACAAAGAATAACCATTTGAGTGAAAACCAACTACGTAGAATGTAATATTTAATAATATTTAAGTGAATATACTATATCTTTTTAGTTATTATTTAGTTATATTATTTAAATAAGAGTGCGGTTTGTATAGAGCCTAGGCTCTAAACAATCAAATTAAAGCCTACCTTCAAATAGTGTCGAGGAATGCGATTTTAATGTGGGAAATCTTTGTGAAAGCTTTAAAATATATTTTTATATTTATTTATAAAGTTTAAAAAATAGTGTAGATTGACAGATTTATGAAAACTTGAAAATATTGAAATTTGACAGTCCAAAAGTGCATTACAAAATACACTATTTCCAAAAAACTTGAAATCCATTTTTTTATCATGCTCATGCATCTTGATATTGAGATGATGAATTTGAGGATATTTGTGCATCAAAAACATATCTTCTAGTGAAATTTTTGAGGTAGGCTAGAATTTGATTGATTAGAGCCTTGGCTCTATATAAACTTTTCCCTTTAAATAATGTATGTATATATTTAATATATTATTTAAATATATTTAAATACATAGTTTTATTTTTGGGTCGGGTCCGGTCCCATTACATATTTACATGATCCCTTATTTTGTTCCTACTCCCATCTCCATCCCCACAACCTAATCCAAACTACTGTTCGAAGTGAGGCCATTCTCTACCCCTTCGGTGACCCGAAGTCGTGTTTTGCAAATGACTAGCTTCTTTATACAGGGTTTGCCAACGCTTGATTATTTTCTGGTCTTACAATACAGACTAGAATTTAACATATTCCTGATCTTAAGAACTTCCACATTAAATCAACAATCTTAAGAAATTCCACATTAAATCAACATACAATTTAATGAACCCAATGCAAAGTTACTTAGAATCTAATAATGTATCTTGAAAAATTTGAAACAAACAAAGCAGTAGAATTAGTACTGGTAATATAGAGATTACGCATCTATCTTAGGACAATAAATTCTCTTTAAGGTAAGAGAGAGATTACGCACCCATCTTAGGACAACAAATTTTTAGTATAGAGAGAGATTTTAGCCAGAGAGGTAAAATAGCAAGAGAGAGACACATTATATGGACGTACGTATTAATAAGGAGATATTTTATACGTAGAGATATAAAGATAAAATTATATAGATAACGAAAACAAAATTTAAGAAAAGGAGATAGAGAGAGAGTGTGCAAGAGAGAAAATCTCTATGTTATGAGAAAAAGATATTGTTAAGTAAAGAATAGAGAGATTTTAGGGGAGAGAAAGAGGGGGGGGGGATTTTGTGAGTAAGAGAGAGAAAGAGGTTTTAGGATAAATAAAAAAAATATGGAGCAAAAAATATACAGGAGATATTTTAAAAAAGGCAAGAGAGAAAAAGATAAGAAAGAAATAGAGAAATATGTGAGAGAGGTGATTTAGAGGAAATATAATTTTCATATATTCTCCTAAAAAAAGATATAATGAAAAAAGAATATACATAAAGATGGGAAATTTATGGAGACCGAGAGAGGGATATAAGTGAGTATTCTTTTTTTTTGACAAACAAATATAAGTGATTATTCTTAACCATATAGGGCTGAAATTTTTTCTTAAATTAGTTTGTGCTACTAATTGAAAAAGAGAAAATTACGGATATATTTGGTGAGGAAATCCTAAAAGAATGAAACTTTCCATTATTTGATTAAGATGAGTAATTTTTTAATGAGAAGATTCGTATTTTTTTTATTGAATATAAAAATCCTTATAACAAAAAAATAGTGCCTAAATTACTTTTCATATTTTAAGAAAAATTTCAAAATTGAAGGGATAATGATGAGTGCACAAAATATTTTAAATTTTGGATGAAATTTCTATAAAATTATTAGATATACATTATTTTTGGAGCTTGAAATTGACAGATCCAAGGCCAAAATAGATTTAGAATGATTTGAGATGTGTTACAGATCCTTGATCCTTCAAGAACCGAGTTAACACCTAAGTTGGCGACTCAGTTGCCAATAATTTAAACAAAACAAAAAAATAAAAAAGAGATAACTAATTAGGAAAAGTTTTCTATGTTCCACCTACAACATAGAAGTTCTATGTTCCCCCTTATCCAACCGTCCATTTTTTAATGGAGGGATAAGATTGCCCCAATTACAATGTCACGTCTCTATACTCTTTTATTTTTAAATTTTTTTCTATAAACTGTTTTGACACCAAATTTTGGACGTGCATTCCTATATTAAACTTGCACTAATGAAAAATATAAAAAAAAAAATTTTCAATGAAATGAAATGATCAAAACACCCCTGAAAGTTTCAAAAAGTCTCTAAAGTAAGATATATTATTATTTTTTGAAGAAAAAAAAACACAAAAATGATCCTCAGTATAGGATTACAATTAACTAAAATAAAAAACATACTCAAATACGTAAAAAAGCAGTCCATCCAAAATGTTATGTTGTATACACCAATAAAATAAAAAATAAAAAATTAAATTAATCAAATTTCTCTATACATAAAGAAAGCAACAAATTGTTTAAGCAAATTCAAAATCTCACACTGAATTCCTGGTAGCTTAAAACTTTGGTATACAAAATCTGCTCAAAACTTTAGTATACAAAATCTTTATAAGGATGTATTGAGTTTTAAAAAAAAAAAAGAGATTTTTCATTGGGTTAGTCTTGTCTATTATTTTGAAATATGTGATTGTTCTGATACCTTATTTTTTGCAGAATAAATTGTTTGCACTTTTTTTTTAGACTTTTTTTAAGGGAAATTATTGATGAAACGTTTTATAGAATTTTATTTTAAATCAAGATTATTAATTTACACCTACTATTAATTTGCTCATCTTTAAATAAAATTCATTATTCATTTCCGAAAGCAAACAGTCAGAGAAATAGAGATGTTTCATATGAGAGTACTTCGGAAAGGGACTGGCATTATTCATTTCCCAAAGCAAACAGTGAGAGAAATAGAGATGGTTCACATGAGAGTGCGTGGGAAAGGGACCGGCGCCGTGGTGGTGGGAGTATAACGTTCATATAAGAGTGCTTGGGAAGGAATTGGCGCCGTGGTGGACTACGCCGATACTTTAAAAAAAATTAATTCTTAAACTGTTTGAAAAAGAAGATAGGGATCTCCACTAAATGGAAAGCTTTTTATGTTTTCATACAACATAGGAGTTCTATCTTTCTTTTTAACCAACCATCCATTTTTTAATGGAGGGCTAAGATTGCTCCAATCACAATGTCACATCTCTACACTATTTTATTTTTAATTTTTTTCTATAAACTATTTTGACATCAAATTTTGGACGTCCATTCCTCTATTAAACTCACACTAACAGAAAAATATAAAAAAAAAAAATTTTTAATAAAATAAAATAACCAAAATACCCTTGAAAGTTTTAAGGGGTATTTTAGTCATTATTTTTTATAAAAAAAATTTATTGTTAATATTTTTTATAGGTGCGCCCCAATGAGAAGATGGCACTTGCCAAATTTTCTATTCAGAAAAATTTTATTAAAAGACTAAAAATAAAATACTTTGAGACGTCGGATCTAAGATCAAACAATGAATGGCTCTCTTGATAAAAAATGAACGGCTGGATGGTAAGGGGAAGATAGAACTTCTATGTTGTAGAGAAATATAGAAAGCTTTCTCCTCCACTAAATTACCCAACAACAAAAAAAAACATTTTGGGAGTACATTTGGTCACTTACTTTTTAATAATTAACTCAACAATGTTGTGGTCGAATAAAATAAGGAAAAAGTATTAAAGTTGCAATTTTAAAATGTATAAATACGGATGCACCTCAAAAATCTATCGGATAAGGTTGTCTTAACATTGAAAAACCCTCTAGTTGATCATCTCGACATAGAGATGTACGAATATTATTAAAAAAAAGATTTTGTGTCCCGAAAATAATGCATCTTACAACACATTATCTAGGCCGACCATTTTCAAGATTTTCATATGTTTATCGATCTAGATTTTAACCATTTTTGGAGTTTAAACTTTTATAATTAAATATAAAAATAGATTTTTAGATAATTTTAATAATTTTTTACACCAAAATTATATGATATGATACAATTTGAAAGTGCACCTTAATTGGATGGTCTAAAGTTGCAAACTTATAAAAACTACACACATAAAATAATAAATCGATATTGCCACCCATCTTTTAGGATGGGTGGCATATCAAAAGCAGCAGGTGGATAATTAAAAAAAGAGCAAATATGCAGTATATTTAAGACACATTAGACAAAGCACAGAGCTCTAGGCAAACAATGGGTACGGCTGCCTGGCCTTGCCCAGCCATGCTCAGCCTTGTCCGGTTGCTCCAGATCTAGATAAATTAAGGTCTGGACCACAAATCGCTTGAGGGCCAGGCCTGGTGGGCTAGGGCCATGGCCAATAGAGGCTGGACCGCCAAGCACAACCCTTGTTTTTCTATCTTTTTTTTGTTTTGCTTTTCTTTAATATTATTTAGCCTAGGCCAGCCCGGGCTAGCCCTGATTGTTGGCATTTCCACAACTTAAATATATGGCTAAATTGGGGTAAAAAACTATGACGAAAATACAGTAAAAGTTGGGGTATGGATATTAATGGTAAATTATTAGGAATATTTTAGTCATGCTTTTCTATTCTATTTGTAAATGTGATAAAAGCCAAACGTCAGCCGTCACGTGTCCCAAATTATTTTTACTGCTTGTACGAATTCATTTTAAATTAACAGATTGTTAGGTACATTTATTACATTCCAGATTGGACAAAGATCCTCAATATGTTGGGTAGATTTGCTATTATTCTAGATCGGAAAAATTTTAGATAAGGTTGAGGCCCTAAACAATCGAATTAAAAAGCACCTCAAAAATTATCATCAAAAAAATAAACACAAAAATAAAAATTGTTTCAATGTCCAAAACCCTCAAATCCATTCGTCTTGACCTTGAGATACATGAATATAAAAAAAAAAAAAGTACTTCAAGTCTTACAGCAGTGCATATTGTATTACATTATCTTGACTACTAATTTTCAATTTTTCAAGAGTTTATAGATCTGCTTAATCTGCCCTATTTTTTAAGCTTTTAAATTTTACAATTAGAGATGAAAACAAAATTTTTAGGCCATCATAAGAATTTTTGGCATTAAAACGATATCTTTCAACACTATTTGAAGGTGCGCCTTATTTTGATTGTGTAGGGCCTCATCCTTATACAAACCACACTCTTCTAGATTATTAATACGGGTTTGGGATTATTTCTTCTAGATTATTAATATGGGTTTTGGATTATTATTACAATAATTAGATGATTTTAAAAAAAGAAATGTTAGATCTTGCTCGAAATTAGTGTTTCAATATCAACAATTACATATTTAGAGAAAAAAAAAGTGTCTACCCAAGTTTTTATTTTCAAGTGTCCATATATATGTGCCATTTTTAGACCTTTGAATTTCATATTCAAAGAAAATAAATGCTCAAGCCTTTGTGGGTTTTTAGGGCTAAAAATGCACTTTCTATTAGGGTTTTAAAGTGCCGATTTACTTTTTATCATAAAGCCTAGGCCTTACGGAAACCCTGCAACCTTCAAAGCATAGACCATAAAAAGAAAGACATATATTAGGACCTCCAAATTTTTTTTAATTAAATTTTAAAAATTAACTTGAGACATAGCACTACTAAATGTTAACGGTTAGACACTCAAGCCCAAGCCAAATTCCTGTATCCCCAATATCTTTTATTTTATTTTTTTTGACAAGTGCATGAAAAAAAATTGGCTAAACACTCAAAGACCAAGCTAAATTCCCGTATCCCCAATATCTTTTATTTTATTTTATTTTATTTTGACAAGAGCATGAAAAAAATTTGGACCCAAACAGTTTAACGTGCTTTCTCACTCTTAATGATAATGGCTTACCTCATTTCCCTCCTAAGAATGGTAGCTGAAAACCAAACAATAACTTAACATATAAATATCAACTACAACCTTTTTTTATTGTTATTAGACCATATTTTCACTCTCCTCACATTCCTTTCTCTCTCCTCAAAAACCCTCACTCCATGGCCAAGAATGTCAACAAGGGTGCATGGACAGCTGAGGAAGATCAAATTCTCTCTCAATGCATCAAAACCCATGGTGCAAAGAAATGGCAATCAATCCCAGCCAAAGCTGGTATTAAAACCCTTCTCTCAAATTAGCAGTAATAGTAGTGATTAAATTCTGCTTTACTTGATCTTCTTGGGAATTATTTCTTCGACTCAAAATTTACGGTTCGTCTACTTCTTTTTTTGGCTTTTCGAAGGGCTTAAGCGGTGCGGCAAGAGCTGCCGCCTGAGATGGCTTAATTATCTTAGACCTTGTATTAAGAGAGGTAATATCTCAGAAGAGGAAGAAGATCTCATAATTCGACTCCATAAGCTGCTCGGTAACAGGTAACTGATCAATTATTTATCAACATTACAGCAGTTTGTGAACAGCTTCATTGTACAATTTAATGGTCAATCGCTTAAAACCAGTATCATTCTTTTTCACATTTTTTTATAAAAATAAGATTAACCTAAGCTTGTTTGACGCTATTGTTATGTAACAATAAGGGTGGTTATTCCATTCACATAGCTGTGCTTCTCTTAGCACAATGGCTAGTTGGTGCTTTTTTTTTTGCTGGTGCTTTAATTGATTGATTGTTTTTATTTTTTACTTTTTAATGTTTAAAAGGTGGTCACTGATTGCCGGCCGGTTACCTGGACGAACCGATAACGAGATAAAGAATTATTGGAATACTTATTTGAGCAAAAAGCTTAAATTCGAGAAACCAGCAGAGGATCCCAAACAAAGGCCAAGGCCCAAGAAGCAAAGGCTCGAAACACCGACGATGAGAGACAGCGAACCATTTAACATGGAGGTAAGCTCCAGTAACTCGGGTCATAGATCGAATGGGCCTTCCGATGCCGAGCACAAGATTAGTGCTGTGCAAGCTGAGAATTTCAAACTAGGGGAAGACAGTAGTCATGCGGGTTTGGTTAAGGATTTGGAGGTGGTGAATTTTGGTGATTCATATGAGGTGAGCAGAGAAGAGTTCAGTTTGGACTGGTTAAGCAACTTTTTAGAGGCTGATGAAGAGGAATTAGGGTTTTTATCAAGTAATAATTATCTGGAGGAGGAGTACAGGGACCTAATTGGGATTTCCCCTTTGTACTCATGGACTTCTTCTTCCTTTGCATGCACAAATCATAATTGTAATTAATCACAATAAGTAGTCCCTTTGTGAAAACTCGTTATCTTCTTCTTAGAATCCATGAAACCAGCTTTAATGCACACTCTATCTACAACTGATAAGAGGATGCTACATTACATTATCTAAGGAGCACATCACTTTACTTAAATGTACTAATATTTGTCATTTTATTCTTATTTCTATATGAGGTACTATGCTTGTTGACCTCTATTTTAATAGGTTTGTGTAAAAAGACTATGGAATTTATATCTGGTTTCTTTGACATTTTGGAATTTCTTCCTTTTCCCCTTTTCTCTTTGTTATTAATGAAAATAACCCTCTTGTTTTGTTTGTGGCAGAGGGCCGACTTCCAAAAATGGAATCCGCTCATGGAAGCTGCTGCTTCCATTTTACGGCTTTCCCACCGTCATGGAGGTTTAATTTGGAACTCGGGTTTTCCGCTCCCAAAAACTTCCACCAATCAAACACGCCATGATTTTAATTGAGTAATGTCAAACATGAAAAGACTTTTAGAAAATCGAAGAGAAATGATTCCATAGATTCTTGAAAATGGCAATTAATTTTCATAACGGATGGAAACTGACACACCACGATTATTAAAATAAAAAAAAAAATGAATTTTTTAATCTTCAATATACTTTCAAAAACAATATATTTTTCAACCGTTTATCACGTTTGATTTTTTACAAAAACCGTGGTCCAAAACAGAAATGCATCTAGAGTAGAATATACAGAAATGCATCTAGAGTAGAATATACTTTGTTTGAGATCCTGAATACATCTCTAACATGAAATTATGGAAGATTCCCAATTTGAATAGGGCTTTATTTTAAAATTTTCCCATAATTATTTTATCGTGGAAACAAGAATAAGAGTCAATATTCAAAAACTAATATTTCTATAATAAAGAATACTATTCGGTATATTATAAAAACATTCATTTTTATTTTTATTATAATGAGGTTACAATTACTTGCAGTCATTGAACATAAAAAAAAAAAAATCCAATAGTTAAAGGTGCCGTCACACAAGGTGAGAATCTTATTTTGATTTTTTGCCCAATCAATCACACTATAGCCACCTCCCTAATTTTACATTTAATGGTCGATGGTAACCGCATTGAGCCAAAAATAATATATTTTTCCATCTCAATGATACCACCGCATTAAAATTTCGACCCAAAAGATTTTCTACTCCTGCGAGAGTGTACTATTCATCTAGTCCCTCAAGGAAAAGTTACACTAGGAATATTTTTTAGATCTCTAATTTTGGGGATGTGATCTCTAGAATAACAACCAACTCCAAAGAATAATAATAATAACTCTCACTCTCTATGTACCTTAGCTTCTCAAATAGTTGGGAAAATACTTTAATAATGATGACTCGTTATTTGCATAAAAAATGGCATCCCAAGATTGCACTAGAACCATCCAAAATTTTGGGAAAATGATGTAAATGTTTGAGAACTCACAATCCAAATTCTTTCTTTGAAAATAATCATATAGTTATAATTAGATAGATTCCCCAATTTCAAATTAAAAAAAAAAAAACTCCCCAACAATTGTTTGGCCAGGGGTAGTCAATGTATAGTATGCTACATGATCGAACTTCAAAGGAATTAACATTGAAATATACAAAAATAAGACATTATGATTATCAATAATATACGCGTACGGTTTATAAAAAGTTACAACTTTATTTGTAGAAGTAAAGTTGTGGTATTTTGCGCTGTCTATTTTAGTTTGATAGTGAAGATTTGATACATTTTTTAAGACAATGTCAAAAGATAACACATCTTTTATTATAGTATCAAATCTGTACCGTCCAAATAAAATGGAATGTGTAAATTACTACAAAGTTGCAACCTTATATCAACTTTTTCTATAATATATTGCAAACATAATTGGAAAAAGTTTATATACAATTGCAACATTAAATGTAGAATAAAGTGCACCTCAAAAATCTATTAGAAAGGCCGTTATGATGTAAGAAAACCATCTAATTGATAATCTAGACATCAAGATGTACGGATATGAATAAATAAATAAATAAAATCCCAAAAATAATGCATCTTGCAACGAATTATTTAGACGGTCCATTTTTAAGATTTTCAAATGTTTATTAGATCTACATGATCTGAACTATATTTATAGTTTAAAAATTTTAAAATTAGATATGAAAGTAGATTTTAAGGCCATTTTAACCATTTTTTAGACCAAAATTACATATGACGACTTACTTTAATTGTATAAGGTAGCCACATTATGAAAACCTCACCCCAGCATAATTACCATTATTCTTTTGTTTTATTTGGGTGAGTTAAAAGAAGTGGCATTTTTATTGGGACCCAGTTTTTATGCGGCCAAGCTCACATAGAAATGTGGAATTAATACATCTATATTTGAGACGGATTTTTTGAGACGGATTTTTTGACTTAATTTTTAGGACATGTAATCTTTAACATCACGAATATGACAAAATAAGTGAATTTTAAAAATTAAAAATAATAATTTTAGTTAAAAAACAGTTTGGACACGTGAGTTTGCATTGTTATTAGCTTGAACACCTATTTGCATCAATCCGATAAGATGGATGGTTTAGACCGCATATATAATATAATTTTCTTTTTCATTTTAAAAAATATATATAAAACTTTGGTGGGGTAGTGATAAAAGAACAGTGGAGCGTGGGAATAATGATAAGGAGGCCATCGACAAACTGCTTACTTTAATCCATTTTTTATGATGTGATGTGATTTGATGTGATGTGATGCTACTTACGAGAGACACATAGCTACGTGCAAGATACTAATATAGTGTCATTCCCTCGTGGACAATGGGAAAAGTTTATGTAGTCTTGAGGCCTGAAACAATCAAATTAGCGCGTACCTAAAAGGTTTTATTAAATGAGATTGTTTTGATATAACAGAAGTTCAAATTGATTATCTTGATATCAAGATGTATGAACATGAGAAAAAAAGCGGATTTTAGGTTTTGAAAATAGTGTATTTTGTAACGTATTTTTGAACCGTCAATTTTTAAGATTTTTAGGTTTTCATAGATATGTCCATTCACATTGTTTTTTAAATTTTAAAATTTATAAATAAGATAAAAATATATTTTAAAACTATCACAAAGATTTTTAATATTAAAATCATATTTCTTGATACTATTTGAAAGTAGGTTCTAATTTGATTATTTAGAGCCTAGGCTCTATACAAACCGTACCTCGACGATATGGTGGTCTAAGCTACCCCCAATTAGAATGTGAAATTGGGTGATACATTTATTCCAATGGCCAAAAAAAAAAAAAATCGAATGTTGTGGTATATCCCAATTGTCAAATTTTATATTTGAGTGGTTATAAGCATTCGTGATTGTAGGCAATGGGACTTTTTACCTTTTATATATAGAGGTCACAATTACTTACAATCATCCGACGTGAAATTTGATAGCTTAGATATGTCATAAAATTTGAAAAAAAAAAAATTTTGAATTTTGAGCATAGTCCATAAAATAGTTGTAGCACCCAATATCACATCCAGTGGTCAAGATCAATTGTGACCACCTTGTACCAAATATAAATAGTCATCTTATATTATTATTAATTTTATTTCTTTCTTTTTCTTTTTTAACGGTGCATTTATTTTTGTGAGTAAAATAACAAAGCTACAAAAGTTATAATAGATAAAAGAAAAAATCTATATAAAGGTGACACTATCAAATTGAGGCACATCTCAAAAAATTAATCGGAAGAAGTTGTTTCGATGCCCAAAATTCATCAAATCGACCATCTTGACCTCAAGATATATGTACATGAGAAAATTTGGTTTTAAAGTCTTGAAAATAGTGTTTCTTGTAATGCATTATCTAGACGATCAATTTTCAAATGTTCATATATCCATTCGATCTATGGTATTTTTGAAGCTTTAAATTTTATAATTAAAAATAAAAATAAAAATAAATTTCCTAATCGTCATAAAGATTTTTAGTTTTTGAAACAATATCTTTCAACACTATTTAAAGATTCACCGGGCCTAAGTCTTATACAAACCACACGCAGATAAAAAATGGAAAATTAGAGAGATAAGTCTTTACTTCCAAAGCACCCATTACCCATTAGAATCCTGTATCGCCAACTAAGCAAAGACCTTAACTATCCCTCATTGACATCGACTGTAACTCTCTTCTTCTTCAAAAAAAAACAAAAATACTTAGCTCCGTCTCTCTCTTGTTGAGATCTCTTCTTCAAAAAAAACAGACAGATTTTAACTCCACAAGCTCTGTCTCTCTCTACTTTTATTCATAGTTTCATGCACGTACAAACGCCAATCTCTCTCTCCATCCCCCTCTCTCTCTATCTCTATTTCTCTCTGTAAGATTTCGACTTGCTTCCTAAAGGTCTGGTATCCAATGCCACAAGCGTTTCACCATCTAATGCAGCCAACCCCACTTTTACAAACACTCACATTGCGTCACCACAATTATTCTCCAACCCCTCCTCCCTCTAGTTTATTATTTTTTAATGTTTCTCTTTCTAAATTATTTCTTTTGAAATATTTCTCTCTCTAAACTATTTCTTTTGGAATGTTTCTTTCTCTAAAATTTTTTTTTTTCTTTCTTTTAACCACCAATGGAGAAGATTAAAAATAAAAAAAGTCCATAAAACGAGGAGCCAAGAAGTAAAAGACTCGTCACAAATACTTAAAATGCACAATAAATTTCAGGAGAGAGATATATAAATGCCTTGAAAATGTTATCGATACATTAGTTGTTCTTTTCGAGCAAGCTCCTACTTTAAATCTTAGTTACCAAGACAGGACAAATTAGTCGTCTGATTGTTCAACAGCCAACCGATGGCTTTGGCATGGTTCAAAGTAAAAATAAGCTTTAGTAAAAAAAAACTAATCAAAACAAAAAATTGACTTATGTTGCGTAGTAAAAATAGTGCATCTTATAACAAGTATATTTTCAATATTTTCAAGTGCATAGAGATATGCTCGATGTGTATCATTTTTTAACATTTAAATTTTATAT